CATTTTTCCAGAGCGCGTTTTAGTCGACGTGAATTAGAGAAGAAAATCATGAAGAAGTGACATCGCTCGAACGTAGATGGAAATTTGATTTGAAGAACAGTTGTTCACACTTTTGCTTAATGATCTGAATTACACGAAAAATGAATTAGACGAGTAAGACCATAGAAGTGACTAATTAAGTGTTCGGTAAATTATTGCCGTGTTACATGAGGCGTCATCACCGATATCCATTTCTTTCATATATAGACGGAAAAATCTTTGATCAGCTCCCTATAAGTGAATTTATAGGGAATTTTATTAAGAAAGCAGCGTGTTTTGTTTTCCCCAAATAAATTAGGACCAATGTTACCTACCTGCAAAATTTTACTCTATAGGGCAACACGCTTGCAATGCAGAGGTTTAGATGAAGTTTTCAAGGACTTTAAAGACTTGAGTAGTAAATGTCTTGTTAGTTAAACCAACCGAAAATAGAAAAGTAAATCTTGTCGCTGTGAACCATACCGCGGTGCGGAAATATATTTCAATTCAGGTGCGGTTTGAAGGCGACAAAATCACGCTCAGTCATCTTCAGCACAACAGACTAATTCAACTGCAATATCCGCAATATAATTTTTCATACATGATTGTTCCTTTGTTGACATACAATTACCGTGAAATAGTCACGCTCAGTCATCTTCAGCACAACAGACGCAATTGCGTCGCAATGTTTGGCTGGAAGCTCATGGCGGGTAAAATTATTGTGGGTGTGCTGTAAAAAAGGAACCTTAATCTATCATAATTTTTACAAGTCATGTGCGTTCTCACAGTTCCTATTCTACGGTTAGCGACACTACTATTCTCATTAAAGGAGCGGTAATCAACAGAGAATGTATCAAGGTTGAACGTGCGAAATGATCCGACATCACGTGGATGACAATTAGAAACGGGAACTAAAACTGAAAACATCCTTTGCAAACACTTACCCCCCCCGCACAACAGAGGGGGGTAGCACAACCTATCACATCGCGCCCCATTAAGCGAGTATTAAAAATAAAATTCTTCTAACGCACCCTGTATTTTAAATATGATATGCTCATCTGTCTTTAAATGATTAAAAGGTAAGACGCACGAATGCAATATCATTTATATACGTATAGTAAAAGTATAGGTTGTGAATAGTTTTGGATCGGTTGTTTCTTCAGGCATAAAGATAATCACCGTTTTCTAATACTTGCTCTTTCAGTTTCTAGATTTACAGTTGCGCGCATTGCGCATCAGAGTACGTCAGTTTGACGTCTCGTTATTTTTAATCCAGAACGGCTGAGCATACAGGGAGTTGTAATCGTTCAAAAATCTATTTGCGCATCCAACTCATTCGGCTGTATGAATTAACAACGTCCATTTATTCATTGGGCAGTTTGAAATTTCAGTTTCTGTACTTTGCTTCCGGCTAGCGATTTTTAGGAATAGAAGTTTAATTTGGTTTAAAACATAAGTCTGGTATGAAAACTGCTTCCAATTCTTATCCTCCTGAAATTATACATGGACTGGCTCGCTGGCTCGTCAGCGTGTGATCATTTTCCATTGTCCTTTTCATCGGATTGATTAACTTCAATACCCCGAGGAACTATTATATTAGATAAACAATCACATTGAAATACCTCTAAGGTAATGAGATAGGTAATGAGATTATCGCTCGTGATTTGCAAAGAATCATACTATCAAGAAAGCAGTCGCAAGTGTTCCCACGTCTGCTTTCGTAATCTCAGAATACTCTATTAATACGCAATTTTACCAAATTGGGTCCTCAAAAACATGATTAGTTTTGCCCTACATGAATAAAAGGAGATTATTTCTCAATTGGATGTTCTTTTCCACTCTTCCCCCCAACATGAAGACGTTCGCTTTGTTGTCGCTTGCATTAGTGGTGGTCTTATTCTTAGTTTCAGAGGGGAACTGTGAAGGTAAAGCAATTCGAGAGGTTAAATATATTTCGAGTGTTGAATGTATTTCGTACAGAACAAAGGTTTGATTCGTACATTGTTAATTGACCCAAACGATAAACAATTATTGTTTTTTTTCTAATTTATTATTATTGCAATGAAACAATTACAGTAAAAACGTTAGTTTTTACGCAATAACGCAAAATTTTATGGTACGTGATTTTGATTTTACATTATTATTGGATCCGGAATACATAATGAATATTATTCATCTTCAAATTTAAGTTCTCACCTTTTCATCACCGAATAGTTAGATCAACCATCAAGTCCATTTACCAAACATTTGAATTTGTCATCTGGCAACAATATTCTATCTAATGAAGATTTTTACGGTTGCTGGTCTCTTTGATTCATGTATCTGCAAATGCAGATGCTAGTGCATAGAACGAATATCCTCAATTCTTCTCGCTTCGGAATATTAACGGGAACCAATACTTTTTACATATTATTAGTGAGAATAGTAATTATTACGAAGAACAGGGTTCTAAGATCTCAGGGAATCGAGTAGTGTTTTTTTAAACTAAATTTATAATAAGCACAAGTTTCAATTTGCCTATTTTTCCATAACTGAAGATAAATATTAGTACAACAAGAGCTCCTTAAGAGGAGCTCTTTCAATAATTATAATTTGAATTTCTAGTTATTGAGGGGATTTGGAGTGAGGCGTTTCTGGGTGACGGGTTTCGAGTGGGCAGAGATTCTTGACGATGGGATTAGGATTGCCAGGATTCAGGGTAACGTATTCTCAGAACTCATGGATTAGCTGCTGCTGATTTAAGCTGATGGATTCCATTTTAGATGTTTCGCCTAATGACCGAATTATATTTATTTTTGTTTAAAATTAAGAAAAATGTGTTGCTTGAACGATTATTAGGTTATTGCTGAACCTTGCTAGTGGCTGTATTAATTGAATTCTGAGCAAACGGTGGTCCACTGAAACGATATAGACTGTTTTAGTGAGTTCTGTGCGCTCTAAAATCGTTGCAATTATTTTTCCTCGAAGTAAAATGACATTTGAAGCAGCGATATGATTTTAGATTGCAATTCAATATGTATACATGTATAGATTTAGTTTTTCCTATTCAAACAGCTTTCATGTACAATTTCTCTTCTCAATGTACAGGAGCTGAGAGAGCAACGAATTATGTCCACTTTCATGCATACACGGACGGAGGTGTCGATTACAACTACCTAACATACGCCCCAGACCTGGGGGCCATACTTTCGAAACTCGCTAAGTGAACGTAAGTACTTACGCTCTATTTTCTTGTCTATGATTGGGGGATTTTGCTGTAAAGGCCGTCAATGATTGGCTGATGAACTTACGATCTCTTAACTTTTTTCGAAAGTATAGGACCTGAGTGTTTACAACATGGACAGAGCTATCACTAGAGCCTGTCAAACAGAATTGTGAGTATTTAAATTATATACTGAGTTAATATTTAGCGGTGAGAACTGATTAGTAATATATTCATTAAATAACCTTTCATTATTAGCCATTTCTGTGAACAGGTGGTTAATGTATGAAAATATCGACTACAATTACTACACGCCTGACACCTCGTGTTTCACCGTCAAAATCGATACCTGTTATGATCTGGGAGTGTGCTCTGAAGTACAAAAATTGAAAGAAAAGTATTATATTATACTTTATCTAAGTTTCAGTACGCATCTGAAATTCAAGCTTAAGTAGGTGATTTATATGAAGGCAAATTATTATTGCTTCTTCTAGCCTTGTATGCGCTTCGAGTCTGACGACTATTGACTTGCACATTTGAAATTCTAATGTATATGGTTTATCTTACACACTTTATTGGTTAGGCACGATCAGCAAGGAACTTTAAGCGCTAATTTAATTTACCTTATTTAACTTATTTGGTAAACACTAAGAAAGGAGTTCATATGAGTTGCTGTAGTTAGAAATGGTACCCCAGAGGACAAACTAAGCTTCAGATTCCGGGCATAAGTAAGTTATATGTGTTCGTTAAATGACCTTGATCTTCAATACTTTGTAATGGTATTGTAATTGATCATCGTTATTTGAAGCTCGCACGAATTATTGCTTGGAGTCAACCAAAAAAAATTCTGTATGAGACTTGCCACACGAGTTCGTGGTTTTCAAATGAGTTGTAGAATGAATGAATGAGAAATATTGAACGAAGTTAGCTTTTTACATTATTCCACTACTAATTTGTGGTTGGATAAACACTGCATAGCAAACTCCATCTCCTTACATAAAATAAAGACTGAAATAAACTCCAACACATTAACACATAAGTAATAAACTAGATATTTCTTTGTTTTTAAAATTGAATCCAGCTTCCGGACCAAGGCGATTGCCTTGCAAAACATAATTGTTCAAATAAGAGAACTAAAAACTTTAGAAGTGAAATTGGTTTTATGTACTAACTAAGCTCATTAATTGTAGTTCTTCCTTCCCGCTCAAATGAGACTCATTGCTCTTATTCAAGAATCAACAAACTTTTACATTTAATAAACATGCATCCAATTCGTAATAGAGGCTGACCTTGCTGCGCCGCATAGCATATCAAAATGTAATAAAAAATATTAATAAATCTTGAATTGCTCCTACCATATGTACTCGAAAAAGCTTAATTCCGTGATGACTACTCATAATAAGAAACCCTTATGTTTATTTAAATCCATTAATATATAAGTAATACGTATAACCAGTTTTCATCGGTGTTTTCTCTCAGCCATCTTCTCTCCGGTTTGCTGGGAGTCCATACGTGCTTAACGAACCCTATTTCAATCTTTATGGAGGCCACTGTTTCGCAGGCATAGAATTTGCAGGCAACCAACCACACTACGCCGTCGGTCGGTATCCTGGACTCTGACGTGTCTTCTCTTGTCATCTCTGGCGCCGATAGCTGGACTCTCTTCACGTAAGTCTTCCCTCCAGTAAGAGAATCCCAGCACAACAGAACGTTTCANACTCTCTTTACGTAAGTCTTCCCTCTAGGAACAGGAGCCCAGCACAGCAGGACGTTTCAGCCTTCGATGGCTGGACTCTCTTTACGTAAGTCTTCACTCTAGGAACAGGAGCCCAGCATGGCCTGATAGTAGTATTTTGATAGATCGGTTTGAGGAAAATATTCTGTAACTATGGAAAGGATGCCAACATTCTTTCAACATATCTGCCTCAATGGCAGTACCCAATTCACGTATATTTGTCCTGCATTAGATGGGCACATATTGCCGCCTTGATATCTTTTCTTCGTCTCATGCTTACGTAACTATCGAATAAAAATTAAATCCAGCTAAATCACAAAAAGACATGCAGTAATTTCTCGGACAGGTGTTTAGAAAAGAATATCTAGCTTATGTGGAAGTTTCCAGGTGTAGGTTGTGAGGTGTAGGTTATCTGCCTATTTCACTGTAGGCCTTATTAAGCAATGTATTATAAAGTGATTGAAGTGATCTTAACTACTTCTTTAGTAGTCTTAACTACTTCTTTAGTAGTCTTAGGTAATTCTTTCAAGTACTTCTGTTCCTTATTGCCCCTACTCTGGATGATAATTCTCTTCCTAATCTGTAGAAGATTGCTTATTCTCGAAAACTATTGCTCACAATTTATTTTCTTTAAAATCATTAACGTTTAATATCTCAGATGAGTTACATAAAATTTCGATGTGAATTAAGGTTAATTCGAAATTTGGGGAACGTTAACTAATCGAACGTTAACTTGTTCAATAAGGGCGTTTTTTATAATCAAATGCTCACTACATTTATAGCTCACGATCATTTCGAAGTAATGCACAAATATCCTTTATATTCTGCAATTTTAATTCAATATCCGTCGAGAAATTATTTTTGTAATTTTTTTGTGGCAGGGGACCCGAGTTCACGGGAGGTTCAGTCTGCGCAATTCCCGACATTCTCTTCCAAGGAGCAGACGGCACAGTAATAAACTACGGCACGTTTTCTACAGTGAGTTCCCCAATATATGCTTCATTTGGGAAATCTTTAAATTATTTTCTGTTTGTTTAATTGAAGTCTGGTAATAATTACTAATCACAATGTTGCTATTTGAAATTCAGTATTACATGAATCCAAATGGATGACTCAACCGATGAAATCACGAGGGCCTCTCTCTGAGAAAGGAGAGTGCCTATCTCTGAGAAAAGAGAGGGCCTCTCTCTGAGAAAAAAGAGAACATTTTGTAAGGATAGATCCACTGTCGCAAATAAGGTAAGAGGCAGCATTTTTCACATTTCTCACAGTAATCTGGGTAAGTCGCAACATTTTTGCGACATACAAAATATTAAAGTAGAGCGTACATATATAATTTCAGAATTTCATAGTCGCATAATCATAAAAATTTTCTGATAATTTCGCCACTCACCCAACATTTCTGAACGTTAGCATGCAGAGGACCTAATATTCTAATTGCGTACCTCATACGCAATTGCAACATCAACAAAAACAATTAAAAACGAAAGAACTTAATTTGATACACGGTACTCAGCATGTAGGATTAAAGTAAGAATCCATTATATTTCCACAGTTGAGTGATCTCAGCCTCGCAGACAACTCCATCAGGTCCCTGAAGCAAGGCTGTCACAGCGACACTGTCGTCAGCGCCAAGGCTGTGAAAGACAAGAGAGAGAAGGAAGCAATCGGTGGCAAATAATATATTGCATTTAAAGTCCCTACTTCGAGAACTGAGAAGTAGACGTTGATTTTCTTACACAATATGAATTAATTTGCATGATTTTATAATTACAAAAATTCTTGCTTAGTGTGTTTAACTCAATTGCCCTCATCCGTTCTCGGAGAAAAAAGATATTTCAGCTGTTTTTTCATGCCATTTTCAACAGCTATCTCAATCAATCGTCAGCTATGGAAAGATCGGGTTCCAAAGGCCGGATCCCTTGTGAATCATGTCACGAAAAGTACATGAATCGGCAACAGGCCATGGGCCTATTTCTTCAGTGCCGACACTTCTATTATATTTTATTCTATAAGAAATTCTTTTAAATGTGTATTTTTGCTTCCCGATTCATCATGTAGCCTGTACGTCTTTGCGATAAATAAAAAAATATCACATATAATTAATTCATTATATTATATGAATAAAATTTTATTGGCACTTTGGTTTTTATCACAAATTATTGACTTGATGAAGATTTTCAATATGTCGATACCAATCGACGACAACGATCAGTTTGTCAATATGGCAAACTATAACGATTATAAACTATCATATTTATATTATTTTGTTAAATAATCACAGGTATAACGAGTCAATGTCCACGCATTAATGAAAATATCCTCGTGGCGTGAACCCATGGAAGTCATAGTGTTATTTTTTTTTAGTTTTGAAATATGCACTGTTACCCGCAGCCTATCCTCTCCCGTGACTCATCTTATGTGAAAATTCCTGCTAGAGAGAAATGATAATGAAAATAATTTGCAAGACTACGTAAGGAATTTATACAAACATAACGGCTAACAATTTTATTGAAACTCCAGAAGGTGAACTTCGGCTCCAGCTAAGTAGAATAACGGAACTGCAGTGGATGCAGTTTAGGAAACTGAAAGTAGAAAAAGAGACCTTGCTAAACAAATGCCAGAGGTTGAGAAATGAGTTTATCAATTATGTTCAGTAATTCCAATTTAGCGGTACAACACTTGATAGTGAACGCATATTCCCAATCTAACCTCGAATGAAATAACGCGTACAGCACAAATAATGTCGCGCTGGCTGCACTGGCGGCACGAAACACACGGCAAAAGAGATGCGACGTACGAGATGCGACGGAGGTTATACTGTAAAATCAACAGTTACAAACCAAGATTAGATTGATGGAACAAGTGCTATTGTATCGCATGCTATTAATCATTATGAGGATCAAGATATATCGATCAATTTATGCAAAATTAAGATTAAATATTTCGAGACTAACCTTCTAATTTATTACCGCTGGGGTAAATTTAGAAGCGGCTTGAAAGCCGTTTAGAGGTACAAAGGTGTTTGCAAGTGCAAATGAGTGCAAAGGTTAGTATATTAATGAATGACTTGGTAGACCCAACGTGACTAAGTTAATAGGGCTAAAGCGCCACAGGGCGTAAAGTTAATAGGCTCGAAAGCCGGCAATACTGCCAAGTTTAATTAATGCGTCAGAGACGACTTAAAGTTGGGTCAAACCAAATAGTAACGTGGCATGCATTAATCATGATAAAGGGCCCATAACATGCATTAAATCAAAAAGATGATAGGAAGTGAATTGCACACTGGTCACTGCGGGCAATACAGTAGCCTAGAACACCATTTGAGTCACCTCCGTATCACATAAGCCAGTCAAAAGTTCAGCTAATGCTTCAAAATTTCTCTCAAAATCAATACTTAATCTAGCTTAATCTCTAAGGTCTCCGTTACAGTAAAACGGAACATAATTTTGATTAAATGGAACATGAATCAGTAAAATTTCTAATGAATAATGATTACATGGCGAATAATTTATATATTTGCAGAGTTACTAATAAATTCTTGGAATCATTATGAAGCAATTACGAGAATTTTCTTTTCTCATTTATAGTTGTGCAGAATTATTCACGATGTATGGGAACAATCAAGTGCGAACCAGAGCAGACCATGAATAAGAGCTGAGCGTTAAGAAATTTGATGAAACCCATATATAATATATATTAACTTAGCTGTTCTTCTAGAAAATTAATAAAATACACGGCACATCTCATACAAGTAATTACTCACAAATAGAAAGAATTACAAGTTCTTCTGGGACAAGAAGTGGAAAAAAAACACGTCCTTCTGGGACAAAAATTGGTATAAAGAACAATAATTTCTTCTGGAAACAAGGGTGCGGTGTAAGGAATAACATGTTCGTCACGGGACATGGATGAAGTACATGGAATAACAAGTTCTTCCGGGGACAATTAAGGTGGCGGAAGTGCCATAAACAGGAAGGTAATTCAAATTTAAATAGAGAGCCTCCCTCTATTCAGATATACCATATAGATCTCTTCAGGCAATTGTTGTTAAAACTACGAGAAATTGACGACCACGAGGCTAGCAGTAGAGAATGGGGATAATAGCGTCTATAGGAGGGAAATAGAAGTAATGAAAACTTAATGGAGGTTATCAAGGAGCAATTATTTCATACATGAATTTCGTAGATGCTCCATCTACTCAGTTATTACGTTCAACAGGTATATGGATGGTAATATTACTCAATGTAAAGTGCTAACTCATGATTTAAAAATTTTTTTTGGTTCAACATTAACGCGGAATTCCTGTTGATATATGATCGTCAGGTCTCTCCTATATGGATATTTCGGTGATTTTGCATTTTTGGATAGTCGTTTAATAATGATCAATAGATAAAGTTGGACATGACACATCAGGAATACGTACTGAAAATTAGGTTTTGAAGTCTATGTTGATCCGACAAGAATCAACAACTAAATTAAAAAAACTGTTGAATATCATATGATCACTCAAATGCCATCCTATAATAATCGACCCTAGGTTTGGGATGTCTAGGCAAGCGAACAACATCAAAGAAATAACGTCAACAAATTTTGCGTGCACAATGAAAAGGATTTCACGAAACTGGGTAAGGGAATAATATGTAATCAGTATAAAATTGATGCAATGTTGCTCTTTGGATCATGCAAGACCTGCTTTGTATCTGTATGACAGGTCGTGATGTCAACAGAGAATTGTTTAATGGAGACGAGTTTCAATTTCTTTCTAGGGAATTCATTATTATATAACAATTCTTTGTAATTTCAAAATTAAAATATAATTATAGATTATAACTCGATGTCAATACCATATACTGCAGAGTCTAGATTACTAGATGAAGTCTTTTATTTAAATGTACCGGAGTTCAAATTTTTTAATATTTTTACCCTCATAAAACAACCGAGGCGCAAACAAAAATTCTTAAAACAATAATAATCTTGCCACGGTATGATCGGATTTAGTTTTAGGCACCGGGCCCTGAATATCCGATGCAGATCTGTCAGACATAGATTCTCAAATCAGTCACAGAATTATCCGTTTTATTTCTAGATCTCCTGGAACTAATTTTCAATTTAATCGAGCAAAAATTTGTATTCTCAGGCATTACTGCAGCACCAAAATAAGTGCGGACAAGTGGTGAACGAAATTTGGCTAAATGCTCTAATTCTCCTCACGAGTTTCAAATGAAAATTTGCCCACCTAATGTGATAACATGAATGAATGTCATTCAAAGACTATACATGGATAAAGTTATGTCTAGAATCAGTAACTAAGCTGGACTACACCATGTATATTTTCAACTAAAAGCAGAACATATACAAATAAATGAAGAATATTTTATGCAGATACAGTGGAGTAACAGAAAGCTCGAGTTAATTTCAATGTACTTAATAAACTTTTCATAATTCCTGCGAGAACAAAATAAGATAAATTTTCGATAATTTCATTTACCTTAAGTATTAAAATCACTTGGCTGCTTAAGTCGCAAATTTACCAGGAAATTAAAAGCAAAGAAAATAGCCAAAAATTTCACCATTTCTTATAAGAGAATACGTTTCGGAGTCCAGCTCCATCGTCAGTTCAAAACCTAGAATACAGGTACAAGCAATTAGTAACCTAAAATTCACATTCAAACAATTCACCTAAACTTGAGGACATCAGGACTAAAATCGAAGATAACAGAAATAAAAATGAGATGACATGTTGAGAAAGTACTATCTATTTACAATTTGTAGAGGATAGGAACTGAATGCAGCATTTAAACTGGGTTTCTGTTTAAAAATATATAATGATTCTAAAATTCGTAGGTCAGAAACACCGGTTGTGGAGGCTAAAACTCTAAAATCACTATTGGACACCGAGACGTTGCACTGCTCGGCATGAATACGTACGGCTGAATGAGGGGGATGCGCAAGTATGTTCCCTGTTCTATAACTCCTGCCCCTATGCTCTGAAAGCCTAGTATAAAAATTGCGCAGATGCGCACTGCGCATACGCAGATGCGCACTGCGCATACGCAGATGCGCACTGCGCACAACTATATTGATAAACTAGGGATGATCGCATAAGAACAGGGAGAGGATCTTTGTACTTGAAAAACGAGCTAATTTTAAAATTGTTCACTATAGCAATACATTTAGGTTTACATTTGGGAGGGATTTAGAGGCTTGCAGAGCATAGGGGCAGGAGTTATAGAACAGGGAACATACTTGCGCATCCCCCTCATTCAGCCGTACGTATTCATGCCGAGCAGTGCAACGTCCCGGTGTCCAATAGTGATTTTAGAGTTTTAGCCCCCACAACCGGTGTTTCTGACCTACGAATTTTCTGACCTACGAATTTATATATTTTTAAACAGAAACCCAGTTTAAATGCTGCATTCAGTTCCTATCCTCTACAAATTGTAAATAGATAGTACTTTCTCTACATGTCATCTCATTTTAAAACGTTTTTAACACGTTTTTCTTAGCTTAGCTTCGCGTTTGTTTGTTTGTTTGTTTGTTTGTTTGTTTGTTTGTTTGTTGTTAACATTGACAACGAAAATTAGCCCACTTCTGATTGCTCTAGAGATCTGAAATTCGGCATGCAAGCAGGTTACTAATTGCTTGTACCTGTGTTCTAGGTTTTGAACTGACGATGGAGCTGGACTCCGAAACGTTTTCTCTTATAAGAAATGATGAAATTTTTTGCTATTTTCTTTGCTTTTAAATTCCTGGTTCATTTACCTTTTATAAGTTATCACGATCTGAGTTTCCTCGAAAGATAACAAAGTAATCGAGCACTACAAGCTGTTGCGCACATTTTTTCAGGGAGATTCGTGGAACTCAACAAAGTACACGCAATTTATGACCAGAAGAATTCCTATAATTAATTGCAATCAAGTTGGGTCTGAATAAGCGTTATGATAAGGCCCAGTGGGTCGGGCAATCGACCCCTCATTGATTCTCGGGAAGCTAGAGTTTTCCTCCTAACTCGTATCAGTTATAACTGTTCAGATAACGGAATAACTGTTCTTTTCTCGTACGCTACTTTTAGAATTATCGATATCTCTTTGGGAAAACCCATGCTTTCATATATCTTTCATGTTAAAAAAAAGCAAAAGTGTCATACACGTGCCTTTCTCTCCTAACTGGTTGAATAAATTAATAATAGCTGGGGTTTTGTCGATTATTTGTTTATCTGGAAAGATCTGGTCATAATTTTGTATTTAACTATTCGCCATTAAACTTGCTTACTGTTTACATTAGCCGACTTCGTTTTATAAAACAATTGGATAAAAATGAGAATAGGTTCATTTAATTCGAAATTATTCATTGTTTACAATGTTTTTATATACATTGACCATTCCTAACCAACTAATGGGAGGAATCTGGTAGCAGTGCTAATTTCTGTTTATTTCTAAGCCTGAATATTGAATTTGATAGGAGTATTATTTTGAAAATTTCCGTTGCTTGTTATAAATAAAGGCATGAGCAATATTGAGCAGAGCGAGTGTGGGAAATAGTAAAGATGAGGCTCTTTATTGTCGACTTACCCCGCAGCAACGGCCGTGGCTGTAAAACCTTCTGCACAACCGTCCCAGCAGGCATCTGAAATGGGGTCGAAATGTTGAACGACCCCATGTTGATGTTGTTAGGTCGAAATGTTGTTGTTAGGTCGAAATGTTGTTGTTAGGTCGAAATGTTGAACAACCAAAATTAAACTTCCAAACAACGTCGAAGTCTGACCAAACTAGAACGGATGTGAAATAACCTTATTTAAACGTCGAAATAACGTTGATATTGGTACGTTGAATGTTTACTGATTTTTAAACGTTGAATCAATGTTGATTCCAGGTTGAAATGCTGAACAGCCAAAATTAAACTTCCAATCAACGTCGAAATTTGACCAAAACTGGAAGGAACGTATCTTTGGCCATTGACGTAAAAAAACATTATTTCAACGTTGAAATGACGTTGATATTGGTACGTTGATTACTCATTTTTTTAAACGTTTTTTCGATGTTGATTTCAGGTTGAAATGTTTAACAACCAAAAGTAAATGTCCGATCAACGTCGAAATCTTACCAAAACTAAAATGAACGTAAGACAGCCTTATATTACCGTTGAAAAACGGTCGATATTGGTGCGCTGAATGTTTAACTATATACCAGAATGGAACTAATACCTACGAGCATCATTCGCATCAAGTATTTAATTCTACGCTAAAACATCAACTCTGAATTCAACTCTGGAATCCAGATATTCATAAAATTTTTAAAACTGGAACAATAAATTTTTAAAGAAACTCGTCAATATTTTAGAAATGTCCATTGATAGCGAGAAATTACATAAGAGACGAGATTCTAGACCTGAATCACGCAGCTGTGTCGATGCAATGATACACTGAAAATTCGATTGAAACTATGCATAGTAAAATGTCAAATTGATCGAGATTCGACTGAAAATATCTTATCACGCATAATAATGAGCCGATATTTATTATGCCGTAGGATATTCATGTACAGTTTTAAATACCGTGACACAAATAGAGTTAGTTCTGTTATATATTAAAGTTAACGCGTCACTTATGTATATGAAAGTATTTACTTATATTAGATAATAATTCTCAAATAGTAATCGTCCTTAGGATAAGAAATAAAATATAGCGTAAATATAGTATTCAGAAACAATTTCATCGTAAATTCGGTTCCTCTTCTTCATGAAGGCTAAAACTTTCAGATGTAAGAAAATAAAGCTATTAATGTTTTAACGCAGCATTTGGCACCGATAGAGGTTCAATTAAACAATGTGTAAAAAGAAAATTTATTCTCCGCAAAGAAGCTAGTTTAGAAAATTTGAATTTTATAGGAATTTCTAACTTTAACATGAAATTAATTGATTTGCCATCGTTTTTCTCTCTTAATTAGTTCGCTGAAAACATACGCTATCATGGAAGTGTAAAAGAGTTCGGAGAATCACTTCTTTAAGGGCGCGATAGCTAGAGACGTTTTCGAAGAAATTATAAACAGATAATGGTCAGTCCCTTAACCACCTTTGTTCCACATAATGTAACTGGCAGGAATCCAACATATGCAAAGCATAAAATTCTTGTTTTCAGGCGTGTTTCAAGAAATCTTTGGCTAAGAGGCATAACAGCTGCTTGATATCCCACGCATCGAAGTCAGATCAACCTCAGCCATAACAGTAGTAACAGATGCTCATTTCTCATTAACAGTGCAATAAAAGGATCTGTAACACAGAACGTTACAACTTCAATTCAAACAACTCGACCAAGATGAAGTCGTTCACCAGCTTGTCTCTCGCTTTACTGGCTCTTCTGGCATCCGTATCATCTAAAAACATTCAAGGTATATTTTAATGAATTAATTCTTATTGATCTTGAAATCGGGGATAATTTTGTATTTCTTATCGATTCTACTGCCTTGATCAATTCGGTAAAAATTATTTCACGCAAATTGAACGCATTGAGATTCATTCGGCTAATTATAATTGAAAGCTTGTCTATTGACAATAATAGTAAAGAACAACTGTTTTTATCAAATAACTATTGCTAATTTATTGCTACTCCAGTGTATTCATTGTCACTCAACTTCCTTCGAAAATACAATGAAGTAATTGCACCGAAAGTCCGAAATTTAAAGCCAAGGCTATTTTCAGGTTTATAGTTATGGTTTTTTGTGATGATCTAGTGTGGGTACTTTTCTACGATTTGCTCTATTAAACGATGAGGCTTTTTCAATTCTGATATTTTGTTGACTTATAATTCACAAAGTTTCATGAAATTGTAATTAAAATCATCAAGGCCTATACTTGCAGCGTAACTTAGTTCAGAAAAAGCATTGATAAGCATAACGTTTGGCCCATGAAAAATGCGTTTAAACAAGTTCATGAAGGAGCGTCATGTAATTCCGACGTTGCGCTTGTAATATTGCATTTTTGTACTTACTAGATCCAGTTTACCATTAAACAAACTATTAAAATAAGTCAGTCAAATCCTGTAAATAGAATTACTTGAGTGACCAAAGAGGCATATCAAATGTACCCAACCTGACAGAGCTGATTCTTTTGGACGTCTTAACACCACCTAATTGAGTTATTAGTGTTTTGCATATTTTTTCTTGTTTGATCGAATTGCACGTTGCTTTACACTCATCAGGAGCTGAAAAAGCAGTGAATTTCCGGCACTTTAATGGCTACACAGGCGCAAGTCAAACAGGCGTTCACTATGACTTCCTCACTTACAACCCGGACCTGAATCTCATAGGCCTCGACAACCAAATCCGGAGTGCCTGTCAGACTGGAATGTGAGTACATGCAATGAATCATGAAAAGTGTAAATTTTCATTCGAAAATAAATGACACAAATTGGTAACAATTTAAATTCGTCTTTGTCAAAAAATTGGTAAATCTTAATACTCTAGACGATTGCGATGTACGTGACTGGAAACTCCCTGACAAACGAAGCACTTGCGATTATGCGGTACAGCTCGCCAATTTGGATGTGATTATTAAGTGCAGGGATTTCGGTGTTTTGATAAGTTTATCATATTCTATTACTTATGATTTGAAGCATTCGATGATTTGAATGATTTTTGGGGAATTGTCTTGACAAATCTGTATGGTTAAGTTAATAATATACGAATTGCACCCGTTTTCACAAGCGCGTATCATGTGACTCATGTTTGCATGTATAATCTAAACATAGCGCAGAAATAATGTATTCAATATTACCAATCAAACTCATCTGTATTAAAACACCTACAATATATATTCTTCACTTGTTATTCTGATTAGTTGGATGCTGTACGAGAACATCGACTACAACTACTTAACTAGCGGCGCCGTGTGTGTGCAGCCAGCGGTAGGAGACTGCTTCGACCTCTCTGCTGCATGCTTCGGCACGGTAAAAACAATCATCTAGATGTTTTCTCGGAATTAAGTCTATCATGTAATCAATTCACTATACGATAATTGTATACGATCTCATTATCTGCATTGATTTTTTCCAATATCCTGGTCTCCCATCTGAGAATTCGATGTTATAAATTCTTGACCACTATGACAAGGATTAACGAAAATGTTGCGACATAAATATAATAACATATAATATACAATTCTAACTTCAAATTCACAAACCCTTTCTGTCGACTGAAGGACAACTGCAGGCGCGCAAACTTGAATGTGGTTATCTACTAAGTTGATTGCAATATTAATGTGGCAAAAACATTGTTTTTAAAATTTTATAATTATTTTAGTATTCCATAATTTTATTATATAAAAATTATATTTTTATTTAAATTAATTTTTTTACAATGTTAACTTCGCAAAATTCACACTGGTCAAAGTGGCCGAATTCAACAAACAATTATTCTCCGTTTAATTTGGCAACTATGGGAATTAGGTAAATTATTGAAATCATTTTTATAATATTTTTGAAAACTATTGAATATACTCCATTGAAAGATATTTTATCTCATTACTCGTTTGAATTAGTGTCTACGCTCGTCACAAATAAATGCTTTTATGATAAATTTTATGCATGTACAGGAGATGACAATATAAAATAACTGATTGCTTTTCTAGTTCGAACTAATTAGTTTCTTCACTTTATCATCATATAAACGTCTTCATTACCAAGTATTCACTCTAAAGGTTTCCTCCCTGCGCTACGCTGGCAGTGACGATGGCTTGAACGACAATTTCTACAACCTATACGAGGGCGTGAGCTTCCAGGGCTTAGAATATAAAGGAAACAACACTTCAACAGATGTCGGCTCTCTGGACGAGAAGGTATCATCTGTTATACTCTCCGGTACGGAAAGGTGGACATTTTTCACGTAAGTACTATTCCGTCGTGCACTTTTAGTTTAAAATATTTTGTATATCAATATCTGGATTGGGGCAAAAAGTTCGTAAATTTAGACCTACCTTCTGGTGATAAAAATTTCCGTCATAATCTAGTATTAAATTTTCAATTGTTATAGTATGAATAATTTTGGCGTGGGTCGATGTTGAACTGATTGTGATTGATGATTATGAAATTACTCCAGTGAATCCGGTCCAACTTGGTTTTGTTAACTTTTGTGCTTTTTTGAAGAATCGGCTAATAATTTCCAGTTTTCTATTATCTACTCATCTCTTATTCGACTCTCAATGGTTTCAACTGAAATCTTGTATTTTTCTCTTTATGCCGAATATATCCATCATTTTGATTGATTGACTCTCTTTCTTGGATACTCAGGGGCCCTGGGTTCACTGGAGGCTCCGTTTGCGCTATTCCCGACGATCAATACATCGGCAGCGACGGTACAATCTTGAACTTCGGCCTTTTTGAAACCGTGAGTCCACCAAGACCTTACATTATTGCAACCATTTAAATACCGTGAGTCAGTTAAGTCTTTACTGGCAACCATTTAAATGCCGTGAGTCAGCTAAGTCCTGACTGACAAACATTTAAATACCGTGAGTCAGCTAAGTCTTAACTGACAACCATTTAAATGCCGTGAGTCAGCTAAGTCTTGACTGACAACCATTTAAATAACGTGAGTCAGCTAAGATTTGACTGGCAACCATTTAAATGCCGTGAGTCAGCTAAGATTTGACTGGCAACCATTTAAATAACGTGAGTCAGCTAAGATTTGACTGGCAACCATTTAAATAACGTGAGTCAGCTAAGTCTTGACTGACAACAACTTAAATATTAGATTACGGTCTTCACCAAACCATGAAAATACTTAATTACAATACTTTTATTACTCTTACTCTAATACATAGTGTACACTATCTACAAGTTCAATTCTAACATTTGAATACCATCAGAAAGCTAGTTGTAGCCTCTTCATATAATATTTATTTTACAAATGGACAATAAACTATAGAAAATTGTATTGGTGGTTAGTCTATTGATAACTCAAAGAATAACGGTGATTAATGACATTAATTGTAATTATTGATTATTTGTCTTCAGTTAAACGAGCTGAGCTTATTCGATGGAGGGATAAGGTCGCTGATCAAAGGCTGCTTCAGCGACACCGTCGTGAGCGCTAAGGCTGTGAAGGCCAAAAGAGCAGATCAAGCTGCGGCTCGTGGCTTATAAATGGTCCTGAAACATCTTCTTTTTTTATACATAAGATAAAGCCGGCGCATATCATGACGTTCCAACTTTAAAAATGTAATGTTTGTGAAATATTATTGTAGAAATTACGTTACTTTCCATATTTCCGCCCTTACTAATTTTACATTGAGGAAGACAAGTGCAATGCAATTTTTTTATGTTCGTGTCCTTTCTACATCTGTGTTTAGATGCAGAATTATATGAAAATAAATTTTGAAACAGAAGTAATTCAGAAGTGAACATTATGATTGACCATCCAAGACCATTTGCTAAGTACATATTATAGAGGCCAGTAGCACACTGGATTTACTATGATTCTTCTTGTATTGTTTTGCACTGGAATAAGAAAAGAATCAACATAATTTGAACTCAACCACTCATCGTTCTCAAATAAAATAAGAATTGCCACTTGAAGAATCAATCGAATTTACTGAAAACTGATTTAAAAACTTTAGTTATTACATTAGTTTGTCAGAATAACTTAGAATAGTTCTAGTGAAATTATTCTAGGTCAATTGACACTTATTATTGACGCTTTAAGGTTAAATTGAATGCAATATTGGAGTAATATTACGGATAAAATCGAAACAATAACCTTGAAGACGTTTTCACGACGATGTTGGGTTCTTATGGTATCGTAGTTATCATCACTATAACTTAATCAACTCCATCGTTCGTTTGTAGTCGCTTATTGTTGGCTACATTGATGATTATTAGACAGACATTTGGATATGACCAGATAACATTTATTATAATTAGCCAATAATGCAGCGATTCATATCCAATCAAACGAACGAAATAGCTTCCATCGTTTCAAAAACCGCACTAAACAGGGTGCAGATGAAAAAAAGATTATGAATATCGTAATGGGTAATCAGATCCACACATGTATACCTACCGCTTATTTTTGGTGTTAAGCTATTTTTTTTTTTGAAAAATTAAAGCTTCAGACCGAAAGGGTTGGTCGAGTGCACGGTCAAGATCAATATGACTGATGCAGCAAGCTGGGGCTTCGAAACTCACAAGAAGCTGATAAAAATCAGCAATATGGCTGTGATGGATTAAGAATCGGCTGAAGTACAAGTAAGTAAGAAGTACAGTTACGAGGTGATCTTGACAGGCTGGTTGACAGGGCTGATAAGTGGCAGCTGCGTTTTAAAGCAGACAAATGTAAAGTTATCCACCTAGGCAAGAATAATGAACAGCAAGATTACAGTATGAGATGACACGGTTGCAACGACTGAGTGATGATGTCGAAGTCGACAATGGAAAAAGATTTAGGAGTTTATATCGACAATGAGTTGAAATTTTCTAAGCATATTGAAGGTTAAGTTAATAAAGTCAATAAACGACTTGGACAGATCAGACGCTCTTTCGAGTTCCTAGGTGCAGAAGCGATTAAGCATTTGTTTGCTGCTGTCGTGCGCCCGAGTCTAGAGTTTGGAAACGTCGTGTGGTCACCGAAATTTGAAAAGGACAAAAATTTAGTAGAGAGTGTTCAAAGAAGCGCAACAAGGATAGTTCCGGGCTTGAAAGGCAAGTCCTATGAGGAAAGATTAAAGATTATGAAGCTTCCAAGCCTCAGTTATCGACGTCTGCGTGGGGACCTCATTGAAGAATACATGTATACTCATGGTTTATACAAGGTCCCAGAAGGATTACTAGAATTTGAAACAAGAACCAACACCAGGGGCCACGGCTAAAAACTAAAAAACTGCATTGCAACACATCCATGCGACAAAATTTCTTCTCGCTTCGAGTCACCGACATGTGGAACAGCCTCCCTGATAGCATCGTTGAAGCTCCGAGTATAAACNCTACTGGAACCAGCTTTGCTTACAAAAGTAACTGTATCTATTGCGGGACAGGGGACAGATATGGTGGTAAGAAGAAAGACTTTGTGCTGACACCTGTCAGGGGATACAGTGTTCAAAACTCAATCCTGGGGTCTGAGAGAGAAGATGAGTGCGGTCTGAATGTGAGATCCAGGGTACAGTTTGTGGCAGACCTTCCTGCAGCAGATGCTGTGTGGGATCACATCTCTTGTCTCTTGTAGTTCAAACTTCAGAACAGGAAAACCAGATCCCTGAAAGGTTTGTCATGGACTCAGATGCAAGTACTAAGCGTTTCAAACCTGGACGACCAAATGATGCTTCACAAGTAGATGCTTTCATAGAGGTCATGGAGTATTTGGAGAAATGCGATGAAGAGCAAATCTCACTCTGTGACCTGGTGGAAAAAATATAAAGCTACCTAGCAGGCATATCAGTTTCTGCATATAGCTCTAAGCACATGAAGGAACAAATCAGAGGGCATTTTGGGAATGAAGTCATCATATGCGTACGTGTCTGTGCCAATTTTCATGAGATTCTGACGGGTTAGCTCCAGGGAAAAATGGCTCGAGTGAAAACTTTGACCTCAAACCCCCCTGTACGTGATTATACAGCAGCAGCATATCAAAGGTGGAGAGTATAAGTATAGCGTCCGCTTCGCTGGCTGTAGGCACACAGAAAATGAGCCGCTCCTGCCGAATAAAAATTTTGCAAGCTGAAATAAAAAAAGGTTTTTCTATCCCATTCATCATTCATATGTCTGATATTTTCTCTTTTTGTCTACACAGCTGACGTCCTCTTATTTCATCTTAGAAATAGTTTGCCAAAGCTGACCATCATAATTGATGATTTTCTGAGCATTAGGACTTTTTCCTTACTTATTTTACATCAGACAAATACATTTATGCCAAATTTTATCAGTAGAAGAAGAAAAAAAGAAACGCCGAGAATTCATCGGACTTTAAAAAGTATAAAAGTATCGATAAAATGGTATTTTTATTACAAAAATATTGCAATATTTCTTAGTTTATATAATTTAGCTCATAATATAGATATAATTTGATTTATTAGCCTAGAAAAATTCGTTTTCGGTAGCAAAACTGTTCCAGTCTATTAATTCAAACCGCTGCATATCAACATATAGATTACTTTGGCGGCCATTTTGAAAAGCTATGATTTGAAGCCTTTCCACCAATTATATTTTAGATGATTTCTTATTTGTCTTTTCTGAGGCCTTCCTGCATGTTATAGTGATGGAGAAAATTCTTTTGTAATTTGTTCTAGGTTGACCCCCTTTTTCCTCTTGGTTTCCTGGACTATAAGTGCATTTTTCCAGAGCGCGTTTTAATCGACGTGAATTAGAATAGAAAATCATGAAGAAGTGACATTGCTAGAACGTAGATGAAAATTTAATTTGAAGAACAGTTGTTCACACTTTTGCCTAAAGATCTGAATTAGACGAAAAATTAATTCGGAAGAGTAGAACCATAAAACGGACTAATTAAGTGTTCGGCAAATTATTGCCGAGCTACATCAGGCGTCATCACCGATATCCATTTCTTTCAGATAATCTTTGATCATCTCCCTATAAGTGAAGCAGCATTTAATTAACAAAGCAGCGAGTTTGTTTTCCTCCAAAAAATTAGGACCAATGTTCCCAACCCACAAAATTTTACTTCATACGGCAACACGCTTACAATGCAGAGGTGAAGTTAGCAACTTAAGTTAACAAGGACTTTAAAGACTTGATTAGTGAATGTTCTGTTTGTTTAACCAACTGGAAATAGGAAAGTAAGCCATGCCGCTGAGAACCTTCTGCGGTGCTGAAATATATTTCAACTTAGGTGCGGTTCGAAGGCCACAAAGTCACGCTCAGTCATCTTCAGCACAACAGAGGCAATTGCGTTGTTGTTGTTAGTTGCGACCGTCACGCTCGCCGGGGGGAGGCTCTGGTGGAGGGCGGGGGGCCGGCACCGGAAGAGGGAGGTAATGGGCGAAGGCAGGGAGGGTGGCCAGGAAAGCCGCTGCCTCCACGGGGCTGTCCCACAGTGAGAAGACGCTGAGAGACGTGGGGAAGGCGGGGCAGACGAAGAGATGCTGAACCGACTGGAGTGGATCCCCGCACTCCGGGCAGGCGGAGCTAGGGGAGCGTCCGATCCTGGCGGAATAGGACGCCAGGGAGCTGCAGTATCCCGAGCGGAGCTGGGATAACGCTGAGCGGTAGGGGCGAGGGAGTGAGGCTGGAGAAAAACCCTAGAGCACAGAGTGTGTCAATTAGGAATCTAGATCCGAAGTGATGATGCAGTTGAACCCCAAGGCCTAGCTGCAGAGGAGCAAAGATAATACGGGGTCTTGTGCAATGAGCGATTGCTTGACCGCTGGATGCTACCTTCGTCTCAGAATTTTTACTATTGAACAAATTATCTAGAAATATTTTTAGGGATTCGGGTATGTAGGACACTGCTTTTCCTATGGAGGCCATGTCTTCAAGTGATGGATAGGAATCTCGGTTCCCTGTCATAGACTTGATGTCATTCTTGATCAATTTGGCAGCTGTTTCTATGATTCGTCTCTTCTCTTTTTCTAGATCATTTTGTTTTGGTGCTGCATAGAAATCATTAAAAATAGTTGATGCGGTGCTCCACATTGTAACTATATTTTTATTTCCACCAACATCAGTTATGATGACTTTATTTCCAAAATGCCTTTTTATTTGTTCCTTCATGTGCTTAGAGCTATATGCAGAAACCGCTGTGCCTGCTAGGTAGCTTTATATTTTTTCCACCAGGTCACAGAGTGAGATTTGCTCCTCATCGCATTTCTCCAAATACTCCATGACCTCTATGAAAGCATCTACTTGTAAAGCATCTTTTGGTCGTCCAGGTTTGAAACGCTTAGTACTTGCATCTGAGTCCATGACAAACCTTTCAGGGATCTGGTTTTCCTGTTCTGAAGTTTGAACTACAAGAGACAAGAGATGTGATCCCACACAGCATCTGCTGCAGGAAGGTCTGCCACAAACTGTACTCTGGATCTCACATTCAGACCGCACTTATCTTCTCTCTCAGACCCCAGGATTGAGTTTTGAACACTGTATCCCCTGACAGGTGTCAGCACAAAGTCTTTCTTCTTACCACCATATCTGTCCCCTGTCCCACAATAGATACAGTTTCTTTTGTAAGCAAAGCTGGTTCCAGTAGTTCTCAGTTGGCGTACTTCGTCTTCAGAAGACTCATTTGCTCTTATTCTGTTTTGGGCTTCAATATTGAATGACCTACAATGGTCCTTGCGACATTGGGTGTGTACTTTTTGTCCAGGCACTAC